AACAAAGATATTGAATGTATACAAGAAAAGTGGAAGGCGGATCTATCATGCATGGGCTGTTTCTTAGTACTTCCCATTTCCCAAACATTTTTATGATGGATTTATGTAATATATAAAATTGGGGTTGAGTTGGATGTTATGCATGCGATATTCTATATGCATGTTGTTTGAAAAATAAACGTAGGGTTAGTGTGTTGGTCAACTTGGTTTGCAATTTGGAGGTGAAACGGCGACGTTTCAGAAGAGAGAACTTGGGTTTTGAATGTTTGAGTGCCAGAAATTTAACGGAAAAGTCTTTGAGAAATGGGGTTCCGCCACGTGTCCAGAAGGACCACTGTAGGACCAAAGACAGCGAAAAGATAAAGAACCATCTTTCTTCTTCCTCCGCCTTTCGGCACTCTCGCTCTTATGACTCTTTCAACTTTTGAGTATGTTTCTGGAAGTTTCTGGAAAATCCCGTGGAAATTGGGGAGAATTTTCTTCTTAGAAGCGAAGGAAAGAACTTGGGCTGCAGCGAATTCCCAAGCTATGGCCCCTGAATCATCTGGGTTCTTCTTAGGTGGGTTTCGGTGGAGATAATCCGATCTGGATTTCCTTTCCTTATTTAAATCCATTTGTCTCAGGTCGGCTTTCGTCGTTGGTGTACTAAATTCGACAGCTTTTACCAAACTTTCCACTGGGAGACTTCAAATTTCCTTAAATATGCCTCAAATCTGGGAACTTCTCGGAAACCCGTGTTGAGTTTCTTCTTATTTCCTTATACGTTCTTCACTAGGATGCCATTTCATGCGGCGTGCCCTTGTTGTTCATGACTGTGTCAGATTATGCGATCCCTTAGATTTCTGATCTGTTTTGGTTCAGTTTCGTGGTTGGATGCCGTTCCATATAATCGATTTTGACAATTCAGGTAGCTTTATGTCTTCTCCTTCGATTTTTACTTCACTTCATTCGATCCCTTTTTTGGTGGATCTGGTGGTTTAGCGGTTCTCTTTCTCTGATGTTCATGTCTCTAGTCTGCTGGGATCGTATTCAATTCGATTCCTTTACCGCATATAATCAGTGAATGCAGATTCCAGATGCGAATTTTCCTTTAGGATCATGTTCTCCTCGATTCATTTCCACGCATTTGCTGTTTCTTGGATGTGAGATATTTGGCTGCACAGACACATGTCACTGAAACTATGCGTGTTGCTCTATGTTTTGTGATGATACGGTCGGTTTTCAGGCAAGCATCAATCGAGTTGCGTGGTAAAGAAGTAGGTTCCACAGGCATGGGATGTCTATCAAAATGCTTTGGTTACTCATCCTCCAGAAGACATGACCCGTATGAGGTAAGGTTATTTGTTTGGCCAATCCTCTACAAATCGAAAAAGGACGTCTTTTTATGATAATCAAAAGTCTCCTTACCCTTTTTGAACCTAACTGTTTGGCCTCTGAAACTTGCAGGATCAGAATCAATATCTTCATGATATGGATATGGCGTTTGCCATATCAATATCGGAGCAAGATGAAATTGCACGGAAAAATAGAGAACATGAACAGCTTGATATGGTCATTGAAGAAAGCTCAAAACCGGCAGAATCTTCTCACCGCGGAGTTCAGTTAGAAGACAACCAACAGCTTGGGCAGAAAGTTCAAAACTGTTTGGATGGGGAAGAAACGTTTCCTCGGAAGCTAGAGCAGAGAGAGAGAAGTGATGATAAACGTGTGGATGAAACCGCTCAAGAGAGTCTGAAAGCGGGAGGATCTCCTCGATTAGAAGAAAGCCGTAAAGCTCAGATTTTGGACCCTTTAGAGTCTGAGTACTCTCGCCACTGGCAGGAGAAAGGCAAAGGGAAGCATGCTGAAGATAGCTCGGTCGTACAATCTCCTCCAAGGTATGGTTTTGTCGGGACACAGACTTTCCTTGTCCTGTTAATAGAGATCCTGCAATGGAAAATTTCACATAGATAATGTATCTATATTCAGATATCATGTTTTCTTTAAAACATTCCTTCTCTTCCTGTCTCAACTATCTTTAGAGCTGACCTGTTTTAAGGATACTTCACATGTAGCATTTGTGCCGGTTGCGACTCTGCCATTGAACCTGGAAGATCTGTGAATGTCTTGGATGCTGTTTGGCATCCTGAATGTTTCTGTTGTCTTGCTTGTCACACACCGATTGCTTTTCACAAGGTTTAAAAATCATAATCCAAATAACCGTTCCTTATGAAATTGGTGCTTGCTTGTTTTCATGGCTTTCTGATTATAAACCAAATTCTTGTTAACTCTCTGTATAGTTTTCAAGTTCAAGAGGGCAGTTTCACAAATCGTGCTACAAGGGTCGCAATGGTCGATACTGCTACGTCTGCAAGCAGAAGGTAAAACACTTGCTTAGCTCTGTAAACTGAAAATAGATCGGAACAATTTAAAGAATCTACCTTTCCGTTATGACAACTTAAGCTCTATGCAAGATTGAGTACCATACTTATGATGATGACGATGATGTTGATGTGGAACTGCATTCTTCAGATTCCTTCAACTGCGGCGGGTAGAGTGTTCAAGGAACATCGATTTTGGGAGGGGAAGTACTGCCCTTTCCACGAGGATGATGGAACTTTCAAGTGTTGCAGTTGTGAAAGACTAGAGGTGGAGATTCTTAAAAGAGAAAAAACTGAAAACAGATAGCCAAAAACTAAAATCTAGAAACAACAATGAAAGACTAAATTATGTCTTGCTACTTGATGCAGCCTCGGGGAACAAATTATGTAATACTTGACACTGATCGACGTCTATGTCTGGAATGTCTTGAGTCTGCGGTTATGGACATTGATCAATGTGTAAACTTGAACGATGAAATCCGAGATTTCTTTGAAGGCTTAAACTTGAAGGTGGAGGAAAAAATCCCTCTGCTCTTGGTTGAGAGCCAAGCCTTGAACACAGCCAAGGAGGAAGAACATATAGTGAGACCATTCCCCATCAGAACTTATTTCATCCTCTCTTTCTATTTTTGTTGAGTTTTTCACCATTCCTCTCTCGTCAAGCAGGACCATCACTATGCGGCAGTAACCAGAGGGGTCTGCCTTTCTGAAGAGCATATCATTCCGAGTGTAAGACCTTGATCTCAGAACTCTGAAATTTGGACAAGAACCCTGATCAGTTCCATGACTTTTGATCTGGTCTGATTAGATCTTCAGGGGGCCAAAGATAGGACCAAACAAACAATTGATCGGCGGCTTGACGACAGTACCTAAAAGGCTCACACGGGAATGTGAGGTCACCGCAATTCTCATCATGTATGGACTTCCTAGGTAATGTTATCCCTCTATCTAAGTGTCTTTTCAGTTCATTCTTTGCTGTAACATAAGACGTGAACCTTTTCCAAATACACTGCAGATTACTGACGGGATCGATCTTGGCTCATGAGATGATGCATGCTTGGCTTAGACTCAAAGGTTTATACAAACAAAACTCATTCTTACATGCTGTCGCATAAGACCAGACAAGATCTAAAGTCTTGTTCTTTCATCTCAGGGTATAGGAATCTGAAGCCAGAGCTTGAAGAAGGGATATGCCAAGTGTTAGCCCACAGGTGGTTGGAGTCTCAGACCTACAACTGCGTTGATGCAGCAGCTCCATCTTCTTCTTCCTCCTCTTCTTACTCTGCAACCACATCAAAGAAAGGTGACCAGCCTGAGTTCGAGAGGAGACTCGTGGATTTTTTCAAATGGCAAATCGAAAAAGACGATTCGCCAGTCTATGGTGACGGTTTCAGGAAAGTTAACGAGGTTGTCTTAAACGACGGCCTCCGTCAAACCGTCAAATCATGGAGAGCATGTCGACAGTGTGATTGATTGCAAGTCATTCCCAAATTGAAGAAACGATACGACAACAAAACGACATATACCCACATAGATACTCTTCATCCCTTTCAAGACTGTATAAGCTGTCACAGACCACCATTTTTCCTTTTTTTTTTTCTTGGGTTTTTGTAATTTATCGGATCTATCTGTGAGTTTTGCCCACATGGGGTTTCTGAATGTGTTGTACTTCGTTTATATTTTACTGATTTTTATTATTAAAAAAAATATCAGACGGAAATGCAGTAGTTAACCAAAAAAGGAATGCAAATGAAAATACTCTATCGGTAATATGCTCATAAATGGGCTTTTTGAAGCCCACCATCCTGACTAGTTTGCCTATTCGTGGGCTTCCTATCACATATGGCTCTCAAATTCTTGGTAATTAATGCCCACTCGCAATATAGTCGCATTTGAATCACGCGCTATATGTTCGTCAGCACCACGATTTTGACCAACGAAAGCGCGTGGTATTTCAAACATGCACGCGTAGATGTACGTAATATACCATATATGTATGTGTGTGTATATATTGTCGTTGCAGTATGTATGTAAGCGACAAAATCATTTTTTTTAAAACCCTTAAAAAATCTCGAACTTACAAAATATATACAAATAAATCTTCAATTTATAAAACTTTCATTTAAGTTCTAAACTTACAACATGTGATTGAATAAAACCCCGAACTTGCAAATTGTTACTCTAATAACCCGTTGACCGCTTTGACCACAATTTTAGGCAGGCGATCAAAAATCTAAGTTTGTTTGAAAAACTGATGTCACAGTGTCCACATAACAAAATTTAAATGATTTGTTACCACATCAGTATTTTTCGAATCGAAATTTAATTCGGTTTGAGAGTAAGTAAACCCGATTTTGAAGCAAAAAATCATTTAAAGTTGGTCACATTAACACACTTACGTCAGCTTTCTGGACCAATATGGATTTTCGGTCACCTGAAATTGTGATCAAACCGGTCAACGGATTATTAGAGTAACAATTTGTAAATTCGAGTTTTTATTCAGTTACGTATTGCAAGTTTGGAGTTTAAATGTCAGCTTTACAAATTGAAGTTTATTTGTATATATTTTTGCAAGTTCGAGATTTTTAAGGAGTTTTTCTCTTTTTTTTTACAAAATCATAATACAAAGACATGCATCAAAATCCATCTATCACCGGTTAATGACGTGGCGACGCCGCTTCCGCCGTATCGTCAATGAGACAAAACCTTCCAGCCTATATTAACTGACCGTAAACAACGATCATATATATCAATTACAAGTTATTTAGATATTTAGATATTTGTGTGATGTTTTCAGGGATAAATGAAAAAACATGTGAATGTGGTGAGCCCGATTGAGATATACATGTTTGTGAGTCGTAGCTAATAATGATGTAATAATTGATGATTAAGTTGACCCGAGGAAAAAGAATCTAACTATAACAAGATTACAGCATTATATTAAATCAGTCGAGATCTACACGTAATCCCCAATGAGTTGACCAATGCGTAACGTCACGCTTTCCGTGCTACGTAACAATTTAAAATCCACATATGCGTTGCAGTTGCATAATTGTATGTAGCAAAATTTGATCTAATAATTCTTTTTTTTTTTCTGGCCGATTTCAATAGAACCATTTGTTGTTAATTACATGTTGACTTTTGTAGTAGATAACTAGAAGACAACCTCGCAGAAAGATTGGTCGGATATTGTAAGTTGTAACATATATATATTAAAACAAATTATATTAATTGGGTGAGATTTTAATGTTAGAGCAATGATGCAATCAAATATTTATATGTTAACTAACTAGACAGCTTAAATTCCACGCAAATAGAAAATGACTGTCATCAGTCGTAATATCATGATTCCAAATGTTTCCTAAAAAATGCACCGTACCAGAACCAGGCGAGCGAAGAGGACAGAACATTACACACTTGCCAACTTACATTCGGTTATAATATTCACAGTTTCTGTATCACATTCGTATTCGGGCGTGTAACGGTACAAAATTCTGGAGAGTATCATTACAAACCAAGCTAAATGATATGTCTTCGATCATCCCCCGTCTGGATTTTATTCAAATATATTTATTCTCTATATAGTATGCGTATCAAGAGGGGAAAAAAACAAAAAAGGTGAAACCTAAGACCTAGTTAGATGTCGACTAGATCGAACCGGGGTTCTAACAAGTCGTAGGGAACCCAAAGCTCGTCCAACGGACACGGTCGACCCGCGTCAAGCCTGACCCAGGGCTTACCTTTGCCACTCCAATGCAGCAAACTCACCGGACCAGGATGCAAATCCCGACATAGTCCCCTGTAATTGTCTCCGCCTAGACCGTGCTGATTCCACCGGTGATCAACCGGAGCTATGTTTCCGGCGAAAACCAATAAAAACGGCGGGAGAGAACCCAGCTCGTAGATCCGAATCCTCTTCTGTAACTCCATCCACTCTATTATCTTCCTCGTGTAATCCCCTTCTTTCCATTTCCTGAGCTCGATAACCATCACTCCCGTGTTGAAGTAGCACGGTGGTCGCCTCCGGTTGGCGGCGAAGGTGAGAGAGAGAGAAGGGTTCGACCAGAAAGTGGGAGTGAAGTAGAAGGTGAAGTTGGCGTTGCAGTATTCGGGTGCCGCCAAAACGACGTCGTCAGGGATGGGCGTGGAGAAGAGCTTGGAGATGTCGTCGACGAGGACGAGATCAGAGTCTAGGTAGACGGCGCGTGAGACGCACGCGGGGAGGAGCTCGGCCAGGTAGTTGCGGGCGTAGTTGAGCGGTGAGTCCAAGGCGGAACGGATGGAGGAGGAGATCAGGCCGGAGACGGCAGCCACGTCGAAGGGGTAAATCCGGAATTTCAAGTAGGGAAATGATTGTGTGATAGCCCGCACGACGTCGTTTCGGCGTCGGTGGCTCTGTTTGGAGATGATGAAGTGGAAAACGACGTTCTGAGGACAAGAAGAGTGTTGGAGTGCGGACAGGATGACGGCCATTGATCCCCTGAGGTAGGCTGCGTCGAGGGTCATTGCCACGTGGACTGCCCTGTCGGAGCAAACGAAGTCGCTGTCGATGGCGTTGCACTCCGGCGAGTTGAAAAACTCCGGGGCCTCCTTGAACCTCTCTCCGCCGTGAACTTCGCCGGAGGACGCGAGGAGGAAGATGACGAGTATGTACAATTCGCCGCGCATTTTCCCTTGGAGAAGATGTGAGAGCAAATGCTCTACTTATTG